AAGAGAAATTCAAGGTGGATCCCTGCTAAGCTGCTTTTCCTTCCTTCAGGTTTGTGGGAGGCAGGATGGATTCCCATCATTCACCCCACTTCACAGAAGCCCCAGTGCTGTCATCTGTGGACACTAGTGGAGGGTGCTCATCTCAACTTATAGCCAGATGGAACTTTGGGGAGATACTCTACTTTTATCCTGCTGCTGACCCTCCAGAGACTTTAGCAACCAGCTCTGCAGGCTGGGTTCCCAGCAACCTGGGCTCTAGGGGCTCGACAGGTTCTGGGTACAGAGGAGAAAATTACTGCCCACCCATATTTCCAGTTCTCCTCTCCTTCCAGGCCCCTCTTAAGTAAGGCATGGCCATAGAACTTGAATTGGATAATGAAATGTAAACACAACTGATAACGTCACTTGCGGCTGGCGCCACTGAAGACTCAAATGTGTAATTCTCCATTCTCTCTTCCTTGGCTCTGTGACTCTGGAGGAGATGTGGAGCTATGAGATCAAAGCAGCCTGAATTCTGCGCCAGCATGTGGGGAATGGCTGCCCTGAACCACCACCCACAGCCTCCACGTGTTGAGCCACCAAGGCTCAAAGGTGGTTTGTTACTGCAGCGTAACCAACTTACCCTGTCTCCAGCCATGGATCAAGAGAGCCATGTGATCAGGGGCAGGCACCCAGCACCCCTAAGCCAGGAAAGAATAGCCCAGCTTTCTCCCACAGGACAGTGCTGCTCTGCTCAGGCTCCAGGATGTGAGGGGTTAGTGAACTGTTTGGTTCCCAAAACCAAAACTGGGGAAGGTGAGTGCTCCACTCCAGCATGTCGACCATGTGCCCACCATCCACAGCCCGCAGCCACCCCATGGCCTCTGCCTCATAGCCCTGTGTGAGAAGTGAAGTTGGAAATATTTTGAGAACAGGGGCGGGGAGAGGCTGAAGGGGAGAGGATGTGCAGAGAGGCAGCACAAACTAACAGACAGCAAGAGCAGAAAAGAACAGATGCAGAAAGAAGCAAGGGTACCACGAGTGGCCAGGGACCAGGCAATCTCCCAGGTCTATCAGTGAGCCTTGTCTTTAGGGTGATCCGAGCAAGCAATAAGTGCTTGCTCCTTTTAGTCCAAGAAGTGGGACTGTGCAGGAAGGCAACACGTGTATCCTCTTAGGCCTGTTACAAGTCCCCCACAAGCCTCATTCGTCTCTGAGGTCTCTCTCCTGTTGGGAGGTCCTAGCAGAACCCTCTTGGTATCCACAAAAGCAGAAGTCTCATTCACCACATGCCCCAGAGCCTAGAATTCCATCTCTAGCACAGAGTGAGCACCCCCAGAAGGATATCTGGGCAAAGACATCATTCCCAAGGTCCCAGAGAGAGCCGCAGCTCCCTTCTTGGAGGCCACCACCTGAGCTTTTGTCCTCCCAGGTGCCGATGTCAGCATATCTGATCTCTGGTCCCTTCAGACCTCCATAGCCTGTGAACTCCCAAGGGAGCAACACGCCCACTTGCTCATCACAGCATTCCTGATGTTGGGTCTGTGACTGGGAGAGGCTGGTCTCTGCTGTCTGGACCTTCTGTCACTATACACCAGGAAAGCCCTTGTGGGCATCGCCTTTGAGACCTTGCCCTCATCAGCCCCAAGCCCTTTCCTGTGTCTGGCCCAAGACCTAGCACCCATCACCGGGCCCTCTTCCACGCTGGCCTCAATCAGCTCCTGACTCTGGTGTTCCCCAAGTCTAACTTGGCCTTGTTGTTGTTATGTGCCATCAAGTCAGACCTGACTCATAGCGACCCCTCCTTGGGTTTCCAAGGCAGTATCATTATGGAAGCAGATTGCCCAACCTTCCTTCTGAGGGATGGCTGGTGGGTTTGGACCACCAGCCTTCTGGTTAACAGTCAAGTGCCTTAGGCGCTAGGCTACCAGAGCTCCCAACTTGGCCTTAAGGGAGGAAAATCATGTACAGGGATGCTCCAGGCACAGATGCCCATGCAGTTTGCATGTTCAGCTGCTGATCCCACTCTGGCTCAAATCTTCCCAGCCCATAGTCAGGACAGGCAAGTAAAGTGTAAAGAAGAGGCAAGGCCAAGGGGCAGGAGTTGTACTGACTTTATTCCCCTCCATTCTTCTCACTCACCCACCAGTGGTCCCCATACACCATCCTGCCACTACTGAGCTCACTCTGAGGGGCACTGTGGAGGTGCAGGCTGACCCCAACCCTGGCTCTCAGGGGCTCGAGGCCCACCTCATCCCTGTAGTCATTCACCCCAGCTGACCAAGGCCACAGAGCACAGGAGAAGCTGGGGAGGAGGCAGGCCCAGGCTCCAGGTCTGAAGTCTGACCACACAGGCTGAGAAGCCTAGCCAAAGGGACCACCCAGCAGGTCTCTAGTGGGAGGAGAAGATCTCAACACCTCCCCTACCACCAACAGCTCTGGGAAGTCATATGACGCCCCAGTCCCCTCACTCCAACATCCAGGTGCTTGTTAATTTGTTTTCCAGATAAAAAAGGAAGTGTAAGGGCTGGTAAAACAAGAATCCCTATTCATACTGGCATCGCCGAGGTTCCATTATTGCTTCAGACCCTGTAGTCTGGCCAGAAAGGAGCTTACATCTACACTGGCCCAAGATGTGGGGTGTTTAGCACCAGGGACATAGGACTCCTGTCCCTACTGGGGTGGGGGCCTCCCAAGAGAGAAGTTGGCAGTGCCACCTACAATGACCCATCTTCCCTGGTGCTCAACCTGCTAACTGGTACCCTCTCCTGCATCCCAGAGGGGAAGGGTGCAAGAACAGGAAACTCCGTCCTGGAAAAGGGTTTCACCAGTAGCTCCACCCATACCCATCTTCAATCTCTGCTTGTCACAGTGTGGCCTGACAGACAAGGCCTGGCCTGGACAAGGCTGCCAGGTCCATTCAGGCTGCAGCCTGGTGCCAGTGAAAGGGAATAAGAACTCGGGAGCCCAGGCCTACAGCCCACTGGGGAAGGTGGACTTTTTTGGAAAAGCAAGAGCCAGCTCTGAAAAGCTGCCAGGCACTGGGACCAGAGGTTAGAAAAAGCAAAAGGTAGGGTGAAGTGGAGCGAGGGGACCCTGAGGAGGTTATGGAAGCCCAGAGATCAATGGTGCAGGGGAGGAACAGAGACAGTCAAGTGAGATCCTGGGAGACCAGCCCTGGCCTCACAGTCTCGGGCTGTGCTATGGAGCCAGAGCCGGTGGGGAAGCCTCTTGGAAGGATACAGCCTTCTCTCTCCAGAGCATGGCAGGGGCCATGCTCCTGTGGACTGTGGCTTCTACCACTCCAACTACAGCCCCAAACACAGCACTGCCAATGCAGGGCCCCAGCACAGGGGAGTGCATGGCACAGCCCCTTCCAAGCCGAGAACCAGGGTGGTACAGGCTGGATTATAAACCCTCAAATCACTCAGGCACCTTGGGCCTGCCCACATCCATACAGAATAAAGTGCTTCGTTTATTGATGATTAAGATGTCCCCCCCAGCCCCAGTGCTGCAGGCCTCACAAGGAGGTCAGAGGGGCTCCAACCACCTCAGCTCTTGGACTGATGGGGCCCAGCGCCCCCTCACCATCCTCCAGTAGCCCCTTTGGGCTCAGACCCCTTCTTACTCCAGCCACGCTGGGAAGGTGGTGGTGATGGTAGGGTAGCAGTGGGGGTGTAAGGTGCAAAGAGTGTAACAAACAAAATCGTATAAACACAATAGGAAAAAGCTTAACTAGGAAACATGTAGCTTATGGAACTTCCCTCCCCATTTTATAGGCAGGAATAAAGATGTTAAATGACAACAAAAAAGGTGTCTTATTAGTGCTCAGCCTCATGGGGGCAAGCACTGGGCACAGGCTGGGGCCCCCTGGCAATTCCCATCCCCACCCCAGGGGCCTGAACATGCAGGCTCCTGTCACTACAATGGCCCAAGAGGGACAAGGATGCTGGAGACCACCCAGGAGTAGCTTGTGTGCCAGGTCTAGGGTGAGGATGAGTCCCAGGCTAGCCTCTGGGAGCAGAGACAGACAGAGAGACACATCTCCTGGTGTGGGAGATACAGCCAGGGCAGCTGGGGATGGACAGGGTGCTTCATGAACAGCAGCCCTGCTCCTGCCCCACTGATAGCACCTTGAAACCCTAAAACACTCACCAAAGCCTGCTCCCAGGGCCCTACTCCTCAGGTGCAACCCACATCAAGGGCCCCTGGGTGTCAGTACTGTGGAAACCAGCCTGACCACTCACCCAGGGCCGGGTCCACAGCACCTAGTGGCTTCTGGGGACGTCATCCTCAGGACTCAGGGCCCTCAATACAGCCTGACACAGGCTGGGGATCCCTGTGCCAGCTGGCAGGGGTGTGGGTGGGGAAAGCAAGTCCCTGGGGTCCAGCCCCTGCCTGCCTCCCTCCCTCCAAACACAGAGCTGGTTCTGCAGTCTTTATGCCTTATCACTCCCCACCCCCACAACCCCACAGGTAACCAACCAATCTCATGCCCCTGCCTCAGTGTGGCAGCCTTCAGACTGCGTCCACACCACCTCCACGTGGGGGCTGGCACTCTCAACTTCTCCCCAGGCCCTCCAGTATGCGAAGCTAAGTTAAGGGGTGCAGGGCAGGTGGGGAGGAGACACTGAAGCTGACTCAGGCTCAGCCTGGCCAACCCGCACCACAAGGGCTCAGGCCCGGGCAGAACGACTATCAGGCAGGCTGCCCAGGGTCTGCCTATCCCACTGCACTTTCAGCCACCAGCACTCCCTCACCTGGAGGGGAGCTGCAAAGTTTCTTCTCTGTCCTTCACCACTTCAGAAAAAGAAAAGGCTTCAACTAGTTGATGAAAGGGGGCATTCTCCACCCGCACTTTCGGGGCTCCAGCCTGCACACCCCCAGAGCAGGGGCTTCAAGCGAAGCATGCTGAGCCATCTCTGGGGGTGAGGGCAAGGGGGACCTTCCCCAGGAAGTAGGAGAGGGGCAGTGGAGCCCCTCCATAAGTCTGGCCTAGGCTCAGGTGCCAACTCTGTGCAGGGGCCTAGCTCAGGCAGGCTGGGCGAGCTGGGGCATCGGCTGTGTAGTCCAGCAGTTAGTTGTTGGCATTCATCCTTCCAGTGGCGGCGTTGGCAGTGGTGGGGAAGAGCGGGGGCGGAGGCGGCAGATGGGGCGGAGGCGGCAGGGTCTGGGGGAGGCCTGGGAGGAGAGGCAGTGTGTGGGACTGAGGTTGGGCCGGGGGTAGGCCTGGGGCCGAAGGGGTGCCGTCACTGGCCAGAGAGTGGCTGACGCGGAAGCATTTCTCCTTGTGGGCCTTGAGCATGTTGGAGAAGCGGAAGCGCTGGCCGCAGACGTCACAGGGGTACGGCTTCTCGCCTGTGTGCGTGCGCCGGTGCCGCTTCATGTTGGGCCGGCTGGTGAAGCTCTTGCCACAGATTTCGCAGATATACGGCTTCTCCCCTGGAGGGGAGAAAGGCAACAGAGTGCCACTGGGATCCCCATGTGAGGCTCAGCCTGGTCACTTGGACCCTTTCCCACCCTCTGGGGCACCAGCGTCATTCATCCCTGGAAGGCAGGGAAGATGGCACTGAGACTGATACAGAAGAGTAAACTGAGGCCCAGAGTTGGAAAGGGGCTTGGCAAAGGCTATCCAGGGTGGAGCCCTCCCCCAGGGTGGCCGCACCTGTGTGGGTCTTCATGTGCTCATCAAAGTACTGCTTCATGTTGAAGTCCTTGCCACACCACTGGCACATGAACTGCTTGTGGCCAATGTGGATGCTCATGTGTGAACGCAGCTGGTACTTGTACTGGAAGCGCTCGTTGCAGTTCTGGGGGAGGAGTGGGTGGAGTGAAGGGAGCTGCCCATATACTGCAGGGCAGGCCAAGGTGCTGCTGGGGCTGGGCATCGTCAGAGAGGCCACAGGCACACACACGGTGCAGGTGGGGAGTGGGAGTCAGGACGTGGGAAGACGTAATCATCCAGCAGGAGTCCTCAAGCATAAGGCTTGTGGCCCCTTCAACCTCCCCCTTGTCAGAAGGATGCCCCCTCCCCCCAGTCCCCACCGTTGCTCTCCCTCCCTCTCCGAGACTTCCATCTCTCCAAAGAGCCTGCCCCTACTGCTCTACCCATACAGACCTTGAACGTGCAGAAAGTGGGGTGGGAGCAGGGTAGGCAACCAGGAAGGGTGGAGCAAGAGGATGGCAAGGGTCATAGACATCAGAGGGTTGGCCCCCTCTTTCTCCACCTCTACTCCATCTTCCTCAGACCCCAGGTTCTTAAGCAGCTGTTGCCCTTGAACCCTGCACCATCCCAGTGGCCCTGGGCAGGTGTGAAGAAGGGAACTCACCTCACATCTGAACGGCTTCTCCCCCGAGTGCTGCAGTGAGTGTACCTTGAGAGACATGCTGCGTTTGAAGGACTTCCCACAGGTCTCGCAGGTGAAGGGCATGTCCTTGGTGTGGGCTATGGGGTAGGCACCGTGGCCATTACCTCTTGAGGGTACCCCCATAGTTCCTCCAAGGGTACCCTTGCCTGAGCACCCCTACATTGGGGCCCAAAGCCCACCTCTTGGGATAGTCCTGTGCCACCGCCCTCCCTAGGGGCCTGCCTCATAGCCTTTATCCCAGGACAGGCAGAGAGTGAGACCATTATCCCAGAGCCTGGGCTGACCTGCCACCCTTAAGGCTGGGGTCTAGTTCAAGGACTCCCAGGCGAGGCTCCCTCAGCTAAGGGTCTGCTGACAAGCCCCCTTCTGTCTGGAGCTAGGCCTCCCTGTCTGCTCTGAAGGTCTGACTCAGACAAGTGCTGAGGACCCTCCTTGTCCTTTAGCTTCTGGCCAAGGGAGATCGCCAGGGCCTCCTCACCCCAAAGCTTTGAGGGAAGATCAAAGGATTCCAGGTGGGACTGGACTTAGCTGGAATCCTGACCCAGCCACAGGTGTGTCAGTGAAGTACACACTGGCTCCCCATGAAGCCTCTGAGCCTCAGCTCCCTCGTTCTGCTAAGGGCATTGATACCTCAAGGGTGGCTGGGTTTTACAGGGATGGTGTTTGTAAAGGCCCAGCCTTGGACCCTGAACAGCAGTCTACAGGGAGTAAGCCATGCCTCCCAGAACCCAGGGATAGGTGAGGACTAAACTCTTCAAGGAAGATCTGGAGAGGAAGCAATTGGAGACAAGGACTCCCCTCACCCCTACATCAAGCTCAGAGCTGAGGAATCTGAGCCCAGGAAAGACCACCAGTCCTGGGTTACTCAGCAAGTTCCAACTAGAACCTGGGTCCCAGCTTCCAGTCAGCTCCCATGGAGGGCCCCCAGGGCGCTCTCTAGTGGAGAAACGAGGCAAGGCCTAATCAAGAGCCCGATGTCCCCCTTGGCCACCCCACATGGCACTTTGTGTAATTTAGAAAAAGGTGCTCTTCCCTCCCGGGTGGACACAACCCCACGGCAAAACACACAGCCTGGCTAACAGTGAGCCAGCTAGATCTAGGTACTCATCTGGACACCCGTGTACACAATGTGCAACCCTGCCCAACTGTACATGGAAGCCCTGGCCCCAGAACCTGTTCAGGCCACATCTGCCACTGCAACCAACCTCCCTAGGCCTCCCTGCTGAGAGGGGTCTTCTCACCCCCTCACACTGCCGTGTGCTGAGCAGGATAAAAGTGCTTCCCAGCAAACCTGGCAGCTGGCTCAGCTCAGTCCTTGGGCTCCATTCCGCACTGGCCTCGACTTACCAACCATGTGTTTGCGCACGTGGGCCATGGTGTAGAACTTCTTCTCACAGATCTCACAGGAGAACTTTTTCTCTGCATAGCCATGCACAATCTTGTTGTGCTCATGGAGGGACCAGAGCTTCTTGAAAGCTTTGCCACATGTCACACACTGTGGGGTGAGAGGACTTTAGGCCCTGCGTCCTGAGTCAGGACCATGTGATCTTGGACAAGGCTCTGGGGCACAGTTTCCCCACCTGAAATGTACTGGAGAGTCCTTGCTATCCAAGGACCAGCCAGATCTGATGTTCTGGGAGTTGGAAACAGTAACTCCCTAAACACTTACCACCCTCCCAGAGGCTTGGGGCTGGCCTTCAGCCTTTGGAAGGCCAACTAGGGCCAAGGGTCACTTCCTCTGGGAAGCCTCTCCCACCCCCTATGCTCATTTCAATAAGGCCAGCTAAAGGCCTCTACAGAGGGTAGACAGATAACTGGCTGAAGGGCACATAGTTCATGGAGAAGCCCCTCTTAGGTGAGAGATACCACAAAGCTGGAGCATTCTCTCTGTTGCCTCTCCCCGCTGAGACCTATGCTCCAACACTCTGAAGATACCCAAGGGACAGGTCCCAAAGGAGCTGGCTGGGTGGGACTGCAGGAGGGGCCAAGTCCCATCAGGCAATGGAAGGTCATGGGAACCTCAGGGACCACACTCCCTTCCACACCCCACCCCCAGATCATGGTCCAGTGTTCCTGGTTGTCACTTATCCCTGTGGGACACCCCTAGAGGGCTAAAGACTAAGCCAGGGTTCAGGCAGAAACTGGGTCAAGGGGCACAAACTTCTCTTCCATTCGGGAAGGAGGCTCAGGTGTGTGGCAGGTGGAGCAACAAAGGGCAGCCCAGCGGGCAGGCAAGTGGAAACAGGTGCACAAGGGTAGAGCAGGTTACCGAAACCCCCAGGAAAGGCCTTCTCTACAGGGCACTACAATTAGCAATTAGCTCAGGCAATTAGCACCCGCCTACCTGACCCCTGTCTCCTGGGCCAGAAAAAATCCTGTCCTGGGGAGCTTGGCTAGCCTTGCACAGTCCCCACCTTGAGACGCCGGGCTGGCACAGAAAATCCAGGCTAGCCCTAGACCTGGAAGCCAGCCCAGCTCCTCAGTTCAGTCCCAGCAACTCCTGCTTCTCCCAAATTTCTCATGCAGTGCCTCTTTCCCAGGGCCAGGCCTGCCTCCATCTCCAGAGAGCTAACTGGAGGACTTTCTCCTGCCCGGCTGCCCCATGCTCTACACAATGACTTTGAGGGAAGTGGAAAATGGTGGTTCTTCTTGGGCGAACCCCTCCTCCCTTCATAAGTGCTTTTGTGCAGTGCACAACCTGTGAAAGTATACATGGTGGCCCTGCTGGCCTTCTTGCAGCCCTGGGGATTTGCTAAAACACTGACTCATCTTTCCCCAGGGTTTGATATTCTCCTGGCCTGCTTTCCTGCCAAGACAAGTCTCTGTTCTCCTCCCAAGTCTGTACTCCTCTCTGCCCTTCATGCCAAGGGTCCCATTTGTCCCTGTTCTCTCCACATCCTTTCCAAATGCCAACGCCCAGCTCTGTCCACCTTTCCCAGGAAGCCCTCCCTGATGCTCCACCTCCCCGAGCTCCCACCACTCTGAGACCCAAGGCTGGTTTGATTATCAGTGGCTAATCTGATCTCCCTAGTCAGGGTGAGGCCAGGCAAGACCTGCCAACTGTCTGGACAGCAGGGCAGTGGGTGGCCAGAGCTATTTCTGGTCCAGCCTAGCCTGGATGGTTGTGTGGCTTGCTGGCCACCTGACCCCGCAGAGGCCCACCTGGATGTTGCGCTCGCAGTCCGTCTGCCGGTGCAGCAGCAGCTCGCTTTCCAGCAGGAAGCGCTTGCCGCACTGGTCGCAGATCTGCATGCGGCTGTGGGTCACATTCATGTGCTTCTCCAGGTACCAGCGGTTGTTGAAAACGCGTGGGCACTTCTGGCAAGGGTGATGCTGCTTCTCTTCCAGCTTCACCTTGGCCCCCAGCCCATCAGCAGCAGGTGGCCCACGGGCTGGGGCCGGAGCTGCTCCTGGGGGTAGCTTTGGCCGCTTCCCACCCCGCTGCCCAGCTTCCTCAGGCTCAGGGGTGCCTCTGTGCCGGGCATTCTCCCGGGACCGTGTGGCCATGCCACTATGGGGAGGGGGTTCCACCTGGCTGCCCCGGTGTCCCCCAGACCCCACTGGCATCTGCCTGCTTCCAGTCTCCCCATCCTCCTCCTCTGAGCTCTCTTGATCCTGTTCACTGTGCCCTTCCTCTTCCTCCTCCTCTTCCTCCTCCTGCTCGCTGTGGCCTTCCTCCTCCTCATCATCCTCCTCTCCTTGGCTGCCACCCTCTTCTTCTTCTTCCTCCTCTTCCTCCCCTCCACTGCCACCACCCTCCTCTTCCTCCTCCTCCTCCTCCTCTTCTTCCTCCTCCTCCTCCTCTGAGTGCCTCTGCAGCCCGTCCTCCCGTCCCAGCACCATGGTGGCTGGGCTGGTCCCCACGCACGGCTTCCCCTCAGGCCCTGTGGACACGTGCAGTGTCTGGTTGTTGAGGTTCACCTCCACAATGATCTGGGACTGTTCCCGGTGGCTGTAAGTGCCAGGGCCCCCAAGCCCTTCTTCTAGCTCTTCCCCACCCTCCAGCTTGCACAAGGGGACTGGGGGCCTGCCAGCCTCCTCAACACTACCCTCCTTCTCCTCCTTGAAGAAGGGCTGCACTGGCCCAATGGCAGTGGGCACTGTGCTACCTGCAGCCCCTGCCCCGTCTTCCACGCGCACCGAGTAGGGGTCAGGACCTTCGCGGGCATAGATCTTGGGCAGACCAGGGGCATCGGCCTCCTGCTTGATGTCACAGTAGTAGGGTGGCGCGGTTGGGGTGCTGCTGGCGGCTGCCTGGGCCAGGGCCACGGTGCCAGAGGCTGGGGGTCCAAGAGAACGGGCGTCCAGCAGCTCTTGGCAGGATGTGGCGATATCAGCCATCTGCAGCAGTAAGGCGGCACTGAGCACCTCGTGGACGTTGGCCGCGTTGACCAGCAGCTTGGACGTGTAGATGAAGTTGAGGATCTGCTGCAGGCCACCTGGCGCCAGCGCCTCCAGGGACAGCTCCACGCGCTGAAGCTGCTTGTTCTGGGTGAAGAGCGAGTGGAAGAACTGGCTGTAGGCAGCCAGCACGCCCTTGTGTGCTGGGAAGACGCTGCGCTGAGGCACCAGCACCAGGTCCACGTCACACAGGTCAGGCTGGAAGAGGCGCTGCTCGTTCAGGCGGCCCATCAAGCAGGCAAAGTGCAGTGCCACGTCCTCCACCAGCGAGAACTCGGCCGCCGGTGAGTCGGTCGTCTTTTCAACCAGCAACTGTGGGGACGGAGGGTACCGGAGAGGGTCAAGGCCGGCTGGGTGCCTGCCCACTCCCTGTGGCCCACCCATCCCCCAGTGATGCCCACCATTAGGGGGCAGCCCATCACTCCTGCTCCATGGAACAGAAGAAGAGCTGAAGTTCCAGCAAGGAAGTGGGGGAGCAGAAGCCAAGCCCAAGTCAGCCTCCCGGCGGAGTTCAGATGCTGACCGGCACCTTCTGAGGCTGATGATCAGCTCCCGGGCTAGTCAGTTAACTTTTCTGGGCCTCCAGCTCTTCCCCTGTGAAATGGGAAAAGTTGTCCCATGAAGGAGAAGAGTAAAGGGGAAAGAAGAGGAAAAAGGAAAGTGGGTAAGGGGAAGGAAGTGACAGAAGGGAAGGCACCAGGGTAACCAACCATCCCAGTTGGCCTAGAACTGAGGGGTTTCCCAGGATGTATGACTGACAGTGCTGAAACTGGGACAGTCCTAGACAAATGAGGAGTAGCTGGTTACCCTAGACGGAACCTGGGCATTCCTTCAGCATTTCCTGAGCTCCTGTGGATACTCTTACACACACACACTCACTCACGCATACAAATAAAAACAAGCCTGCCTACCCCAAACACCTCGACAAGAGAAATCAGGTGAGCCTGCTTATAGCTTGGCCTCTGGCCAACTGCACACCTTACCTCACCAATAATAGGTGTCAAGGCCTAGATGCCAAGGGCCACAGAAGTAGACACTTCTGTGAAGGTACCCAGGCCCAGGGTCTGTGATGGGTCTCCACTCTGGTCCTACAGCCCTCATCCAGTGTTTGGCTAGGTCATGCCCCGCCTCCCAACACACACACCCAAAGCCACAAGTGTGGGCCTGAGCAGCTTCCCCGCACAGATGGAGTTCTGTGAGGGATACAGCTGGGTTAGATATCTGCCCACCATGCTCAAAGGCAGGAGGCCCCTGGGCCCCACTCCAGATCCTTCTCCCACCAGGGCTCTGGGACAGCTCCTTCTTGGGGACCACACTGCTTGGGGCCTCTGGAACTTCAGGGAACCCCTCAAAAGTCCGATGTGTCAGACTATCAGGCCCTTGGGCCCTATCCAGCCTCTGTAAATTTCTCAGAATAGGGACCAGCTCAGTCACCCACGGCTCCACAACAGCACTTCCCCAAAAGCAGGCCACGAAGACAGGCAGCCTGCCCAGTTCCCTGCACGAGCCCAACAGCAGATGTTCAATTACTGTAACTACCTGCTGAAGCCCACTGCTTCCAGTTTCTGGTTCTCAGTAGTTGCCCACCCAGATCACAGCAACCTACACGAGAGGCGTACTTTGACTCACTGCCATAAAGCCATTGCCCCAGCCTCTCTGAAGGCCCTAAGGTGAAACCCCAGCTCTGGCCATCCACAGCCCACCCTCAATCCCCATGCCAGTCCTTCTATCAGTCAGGCAGCAAGTGAATGGGCTCAGACTGGGTGGTGGCAGTGGTGTCTAAACTCACTGCCTCAGTCACCTGAACGAGAATGCACCTGGAACCTCAGGATGAGCCTAGGAACCACTGGAGGCAACTTGCTCCCAGACCTGCCCAGGGCCTCATCCTCCACAGCAGGCCAGCACCCACCCTTGCTCCAAGATTCCAGTCTGGCCAGGGCCTTGGTAATGGATGCTATCTTCCTTGAGTTATTTCACCACGCCCCTGGCCCCTCCTCAGCCCCCAGCCAAGAAACCACTCATCTGCCCCTCTCTTCCAGGGTTGCTGGCCCTTTCAGAGCTGCTGGCCTGTCTAGCCCTGGCCAACCTAATGGGGACGTGGCATCAGGCCCCTCCCATCCTCCTTCTCTGACTCATTCTGATTCATCCTCTGGGACTAACCTCTACTAAAAAGATGGGGAAACTGAGGCCCAGAGTGGGAGGCTCCCACTGGGAGCAGCAGCAGTCCCATTTCTCTGGATCAGACACTCCCCTCTGTGGCTGGATTTCTTGGTCTTTAATGACTTGTAAAGCAGAAGGTAGCTTCCTACACAAAGAGGACCAACTGTGCTTCCCCAGGCCCCACCACTATTCCTGGTGACCCCCAGCCTCCTCCCAAGAGTCGTGCCACCTACAGGTCAGTGAAGGATCAGGGTTCAACTTGGGTCGTAATGGGCTCCAAGGGGCCTCCAAACCCACTGCCATCTAGCTGATGCCAGTTCATCATGATTCCGTAGAACAGGATAGAATTGCCCCCACAAGATTTCCAAAGCTGTAAATCTTTATGGAAACAGAACGTCTTATCTTTCCCCCTCAGAGGGGCTGTTGTTGTTGTTATGTGCTGTTGAGTCGGACCTGACTCATAGCGACCACTCCTTGGGTTTCCAAAACAGCATCTCTATGGAAGTGATTGCCCAACCTTCCTTCCAAGGAGTGGTTGGTGGATTTTAACTGCCAGCCTTCTGGTTAGCAGTCCTTGTTGTTATGTGCTGTCAAGTTGGACCTGACTCATAGTGACCCCTCCTTGGGTTTCCGAGGCAGTGTTACTACGGAAGTAGATTGTCCCATCTTCCTTCCAAGGAGTGGCTGGTGGGTTTGAACCGCCAGCCTTCTGGTTAGCAGTCAAATGCCTTAGCCACTATGCTACCAGAGTTCAAACTGCTGATCTTTCATTTCACAGCTGAGTGCTTTAACCACTGTGCCACCAGGGCTCCTTGGGGCCTCAAGGGGACAGGAAATGGCAGGATAAGTGACCTAGGTAAAGGTTTGCCAAAGCCAGGCCTTAAGAGGAACCTGCTCCAGGCCCCAGGGCGCTCGTCCACCTTCCACCGGCTTCATGAAATACCCTCTGGTGCCCACCAGTCCTGGGCAAGGCCCAACCTTCTCATTTGCTAATCGGGCCCCCAGGCCCATGTGATGCTGCCCCAGGCTCTCTGACCTTGTCTAGGCAGAAGGGGTTAGCCTAGGGGGCAGTGTCACTCCAAAGACTCCATTCCTCCAGGGCAGGGCAAATAACCTCCCAGGGCAGGCCAGCACCACCCTTGAGAGGCCAGGTACTTGGCCAGGCACCCTGAATGAACTCCTGTGACAAGGCACACATGTGCTGCCCATGTCCTTAACTGGCAGCTTCCATCCAGGGCACAGCTACACCCTTGCCTAGCAGATGTGCCAGTTTCCTGCAGCTGTGGATGCCCCTCCCCATCTGGTTCTGCCGGCTGCAACCACCCATCCTCTCCCTCCCCCAGGGTCCAGGCCACCCCAGTCTAGCTAAGATGCAGGATGAAGAGGTGGTCAGGCAGTCCTGTTGTTAGGGCCTTGGTGCCTTCCAACCCTCTCCCCCAAGCCGGGCTGGGGTTGACCAGGCACTGGAGACAACTGTGAAGGCTGCAGAGTTGTTCTACACCTGAGGGGTACCTTGCCTCACCGCCACAAAGCTACTGGCTCCCCAACCTGTCTCAGCATCTCCCTGCAGGCCTTGGGATGAAACTCCTGGGCAGTGGATCCGCACCCCACTACCTACCCCACTACACCTATCCTTCCATAGCTCCTGGCATCAGTGGGTGGGCCCAAACTAGGCGATGGGCTCAAGCTCAATACCGCTAAGCTCCTCTTCTTGGGGAGGAGGTGTCCACACTAGCCTCTGTGCTAAAATGCCCCCCAACCCCGCCCCAGGAAAGAGGCCCAGAGAGGGCGGGAGACTGGCCCAAGGTCACACAGGAGTTTGGACAGGAGGTGCGGGCGGCCCCTCTACCCTTGGCCCGGGCTGTCCCGAAGCCCTAGGCAAGACGGTTCCAGCGCCCACGTGGCCGGAGACCAGAGCGGGAATCTGACACCCCTCCAACCGCCCCCAACACCCAGCCGGAGGGCGGCGCCATCCTGGGCGCTGAGAAGCACCCCCCTCTGCCCTTGCCTATAGAGACTTCAGTCTACCGCGCTGGCACCCCCACCCCAGGAATTTAAACCCCTTTTTGTTGAGGGCCTCGCGGTAGCGCCGCATTCCTGGCCTGCGGGGACCCAGGAGATGGGGGCGGGGAGCCAGGGGAGGGGGAGGATCCCTCCACCTCGAGCCCGCGGGCCGTACACTTTGGAAGGGCAGAGCGGGCAGGTGGGCGGATAAGCGGGGGGACAGGCAGGGCCCTGCGTACCATGTTGCCGTGGCGCTGAGGGCTCACAGGGCCCCTCGG